CCCCAAAACCCCAAAACCCCTTCACACTACCATAAAATGATTTTATTTGTATTGAGAAAACTAAATTCTAAAATAAAACTTTAAATTGGTATATAAGATTTTGAAGATGTTCAGAAACTTATTTTTTATTTTGAGATGTGGCATAATACTTACTCTGGGAATCGCTATAATGGTCATTGGTATTGTCATATGGGGCTAGTCTACCTCTTAATATGGAATGGTAATTGAAAGTGAAACTTAGGCCTGGTCTTAGAATCCTATTATCAATGTAACTATTTCCAATACATCTGATTGTCCAAAAAACTATTAACCTGTGGCAGGTAAGTTTTTTGGCACATAAGATTATTGTGAAACTTTACTTGGATCTAGAACTATTGGAAATTGCGGTAAAAAGAAGGGAAGTAAACATTATGGTCTTGGGGAGCAGGATGTAATGACATTTTTAGAGGGCAACCTAATTTGCATTAAAAAATAGCAAAATGTAGACTATCATTCATTGGCAAGTTAAAGAATGAATGAATGTTCACAGCAAAATTCGTGCGGACCAAGTTAAGATCCAGACAAAAAGTTCTGTGTCAGTAGTGATAGGCAATGCCCAATCAATTCTTTCCTAATGTTTTAATTCGAAACTTCTCTGGATAATAACACTTACACAGAACAGTAGCTGACACCGAATTGGTATGGGTATTAGATTTATGATTTTAAAGCTAAATCGCCGGTTATAGATTTTTATGCATCTGTTTCAAAGCCTTGTGGAAATTTATAGCAAAAATACTCTAGAAGAGACAAGTCAATTCATGATATCTATACTGAATATGGCACAGAAACTTGCAAATTTGAAATGAATGGCAGTCCAGTTCATACTTTATTTTCTTAAACAGGATATTCTACAACTGAATTGAGCGCTTATAATAATTAGAAAGGCTTAATATCCTCAATTAAATCTAAAGTTTTTGACTATAATAGTCAAGATCTGGAATAGAACCAGTTTAGTCTTTATCAAAGATCCTATTCACTCTGGAAGTAATCTTGCTAAAATGTTCATAGTACAAGAGTAGCAGCAGAATAAGGTTCTCATGTAGGTCATATTTCTGATGTTGCAGTTGGTATAGCCTATCTCTCTATAATCATATTCATCTATGAGTTACTCTAAAATTGCATAAACTTTTTCATTGAGAAAAAAGAGGATAATATCTAGAAAAAAGCCTAAAAAATATGCTCATATTTCTTCTTATTCGCCTTGATTCTCGAGTTTTGCTTACTTATCCTGTATATTAGTGTTCTCTCTATAATGAGGAAAGTTGACTTAGAGCAGATGAAATACTTTAGTGAGAATAATTGTTCAGACGAAGTACTAGGCTTTGCTTTAGACAAATTTTATGATGGGTTCTCAAAGGACTACTCCGTAGTAGTAGCTGGGTTTGTGCTATTGATAATAACATTTTTGGCAAATATTTTGAACACGATACTCTTATCAGACGTTTTTATGTGCATAAAGTGTAGAATATTCAAGGATAGGATTAACAAAGACTCTCGATTAGAACTTAATAGTGACATGCTTAAAAATAAGATTAATTCTAAAATTGGAAGTATGTTCAAACGTAATAAAAAGCAGGGTGATAATAATTTTGAGCAATCTTCTAATACAAATCCAGAGCAAATTTACATTGATGCAGCATAGAGAAAGTAAAATTACCCAGTTCAATCTGAGGGTATAGTATTAGAGTTAGAAGAGAATACTCTCCATTAAGATGGGTTGAGCGAGAGCCAGAAGATAATAGGATATAATTAGCTGATATAAAACCAAAGCAACACTGAAAATTTTTCACATCTACATGTAAATGATTAATCCAACTCAGTTTATTCACCTGATAAGCTTTACTATCAAGATAATTAAAACTACAACTAACACAATAATAATAATAATAATAATAATCAGTACTTAGAATCAAGAACTCCTTTTGAGCAGAATGCTAATTAAGTGTCCTATCAAGATGACTACAAAATGTGACTAATTGATTTCAAATAAATTCATGCTTTTGATTAAAATAAATTTAACCATATTATTTCAAGAGGGGTTTTGGGGTTTTGGGGTTTTGGGG